TGCAAAAAATATGATTATTTCTTTTTGAGTACTGCTTCCTCAAAATAGTAAATATCTCATGCTCTCAATGATCATATTAATTCAATTGGCATTTGCAATAAGAATATTGCATCATTATCTGTAGAAGTAAGGTTGCAATGTGCATATTGATTAACTTTGTGGATGATGCTCTGAATTTTGGTAACAGCAGAGTTGATTTGCAAAAAGAACATCAGGGAAGCCAAGATACATCCCTATCTTATCCCTTTTCAGCTGGAATTTCTTTAGGGCAATGGCCTTGCATGCCACTTTTATTCTAGAGTTCTCATGGAGTTTGTACATTAGCAGAAGTGCCATTTGTCTATTGTAGCATTTTTTAAATTTGCCCCAAAGCTTTGTTTTGGAGACAATGAAGATCTGAAATCAATAAATGCAGTGTATAATGTGAAATGTGGTTCTCCTTTCATAATCAGCTTAACATTTGCATAGAATGACATTGAGCCAGAGCAGAAGGCAAAATGATTAGAGTTTCTAACATTTTAAATACAGTTTTTATTCATAAATTTTGTGCTTCTTCTGCCTATTATCTGACCCTCAGCTGATGTCATTTCTGTAAAATGGGTTACTGTGTCCCCAAATTTTATCCCATTCTGATTATATTTGCTTCAGTGGAAGTACATACTGTATAGTCTTCATTTATTGACCGACTTGTTCACTGACCTTTCAGTTATGATAGTGATAAAAAGTGACTATATGACCAATTTCTTTTCTTCCTCCCTCCCTTTTTGCATCTTTAAATTTTTATTGTATTTTATGTTTTAATAAACTCTAATAAAATGAATCTTTTTTTAAAATGGCCAATCCTTGCATTTACAACGTTCCAAGGTCTGTAAAGCAAAGGAAACCTGAAGTAAGATTATAAGCCCAGTTAGGGCTTTACTTCGATGATGATGATGATGATGATGATGATGATGATGATGATGATGATGATGATGATGATGATGATGACGACGATGACAATAATATAGTAGTAGTAGTAGTAGTAGTAGTAGTAGTAGTAGTAGTAGTAGTAGTAAAGTTGGAAGGGACCTTAGAGGTCATCTAGTCCAACCCCCTGCTCAAGCAGGAAATCCTATACCAGTGATGGCAAACCTTTTAGAGACCGAGTGTCCAAACCGCAACCCAAAACCCACTTATTTATCACAAAGTGCCAAGGCCGCCTCAGTATTATGGTGCCTCGAGGGGTGGGGGGTGGCCCACTGGGCAGGTGTGGCTACAGTGGTCACGACAGACTGGGTGGGCATGGGCATCTTGATATTGCTCATGGGGGCCGGACAGGGTTGGGGGAGATCCAGGGGGTCTCTGGCAGGTGGGGCGGTGGGCAGGAGGCTTGTCCTGTGGGGTGAGGAAGGGGGCAGGGCGGGGGTGCCATTGCAGCGGGGCAAGGCAAGGCAAGGTAGGGGGCAGGGCGACTGCTGCCTGACACCATCGGGCCCCGCACACAGAGGCCAGCGAGCACATGGGGGCCAACAGTGTCCATCAGCAGCCACAGCCTGCCGGCCCCTCAACCGGCACATTCTGGGGCTCTGCAGCCCGCTGCCAATACCGGGCCAGCCCTCCAGCAGCAGGCAGAGTAGGGGAGGGGGGAGGCACATGATGCAGATCGCTGGATGTGCCTACTCTGCCATCTGTTTTTACTCACAGTTGGAGAGCAGGTTGCTACTGGTCATCTCGGCCCCCTTGCAGATCCTGCCCCCGGCCCGCATGTGGAACCCATTCCCCTTGCACACCCAACGCACCTTGGCCCCGCCTCGGGCCACCGTCAGCAGCTCACGCAGGTCAACCAGGTCGCCACCACCACCCGGAGCGGTAGTCCCACCCAGCAGAAAGGAGGCAAAGTACCTGGCCAGCAAGCCCGAGCAGAGGCGGTAGAGCACGTCCATGCCCAGCAAGCCAAAGGCCAGAGTTATAACAGAGTTAAGCAGAGTCTGTTCCAGTTGTGGTTACTAAATGAAGACTACCTGTATGTACATATATATTTTACTAAAATGACCATAACATGGAGTTGTGCTCTCTAAGCTTGGTTGTTTGTTTCCAAATGTTTCATTACCCAACAAGGTAACATTAGTAAGTAATGAAACATCTGCAAGCAAACAGATGTTTGGGTACTACCAGGAAGCTTGGGTACTACCAGGAAGTCCACAGTTCTGTAGCCTGAGCTACAGTTAGTTTCTTCCATTGTGACCATTATAACATTTGTTTATTTACTTACCACCAACTCTGCAAAAATAAATTAGTTTTAGTTCCCATTCTAAAGGCAGCTTCCTAGCTTCCCAAGCAGGAGGTAGCTTCAAGATAAATATTTACACCTCTACGTCCTTTGATTTTATTCATAGCATAGTGGCATAGAATATATAATCACTTGGTTTGCTATAGCCATATAATATTAAATTATATTAATTAATTTCATCAAACCATCTAATCAATATGTTCCCAAAACATTGTTATTTGCATTTATAGATTCTCTATAAATTCTCTTTCTCTTTATATTACACTATATTTAAATTGAGTAATATAAATATTTATTTAATTAAACTTAAAATTTAAATGAGCTAGTATATGTCTGTTTTAAAACTCTTATCAGATTTCATTTCACTGACAGCAAAAAACTACCAAACCCAGTTTTCATTAACAAATAATATTCATATGGAGTTGACCTAATGGGTTTTTCTCTCATTTCTTAATTATTACAATTTAATATAGAATAGTCTAAATCTGTGCTACTCTTCTTATGGCATTTTTCATTAACTAAACTGCATTAGTGAAAAAGGTTTAGTATCTCATACAGAAGATACATTTTACAACTCAGGTTGTAAAATATTCTAAGCCAGATATATACTCAACCAAACAGGTGCAGTATTTGTGGGGAAATGAATTTTTAAAGGAAAATATCCAGGGTCACAAGAGGTAAATATTTATGCTAAATATAAAGTCTTGTAAAAATCTATTAAAATCAACCCTATTATGACAAATCCTTCATGAAATAATACTATTTTTTATGCCTGTACATATTTTTTTTTATCCTCAGAGTAATGAGATCTGGAATACAGAGTACTGGTAAGAGTAGGAAGAAGTGCATCTTGATCTAAATTATTCATCTATTGTTGTTACATTTTCAGATGTTTCCAGATGGAAAGTAAAGCTACAAACATGTAAATAAGATCATAAGAACCTGTCCAAGAGAGATTAAAAAAATAAT